TGTGTGTGTGTGTGTGTGTGTGTGTGTGTGTGTGTGTGTGTGTGTGTGCCCCCCCTCTTCCCACAGCTGAACAAACTCACGTGTCGTCAGTGGTGACAGCTTCGGCGGCCTTGCCGTCTCCTTGGATGGACTCCATGGCGGTGGAGTAAAGCACCCTCTGACCTATGGGTCTCCGGCAGTCACCCCCAGCCTGGCCCGACTCGGCCCCCTCCCTGTGGCTCTGGTCCAGGACGTGCACACCCAGCAGCAGACTGTAGTCCATGATCTTAAAACTTTCCAGCACCTATTTCAGCATATATTAAAAAATAAACTTTTATGAGAAATACCTGGACTATATTAAAAATAAACAGGCTTTTATTCTTCTTCTCTTAGTATTAAATGTTTTTTTTCCCAATCAAAACACTTTCGTCATCCCCCCAAACCCCAAATTCATTGCCAAGGTGGTGGTCAGCAGAAGGAAATCTCTGTTTGGAGCAGTTCAGAGCTAAACAAACAAGGTGTTTCTTCACACGGAGCTGAGTGTTACACATTGACCTGTTTGAGAAGCTTTTTTTTTTTGCCCTGAGACTCTTGTGACTTAACATCTCTTAGTTCTCTACAAAGGCAGTGGAATGGGATCAGGGTCAATAAAACCATGCAGGCAGCCCTAGTTYGTGACCCAGACTTGGAAGAAGAAAACTTTTGTTCTGGTTAATATCTCTTGAGTAAACACAAATGTGAACATAACCCTGCTTAATATCCCTTTTATGTTGAATGGGTCAAAACTTCCTAACTCCAGATCAAAACTAAAATATTAATCTATTGAAAGAGACAGGCCTCAAAGTCAAAACTCACTGAAGTAAAAGTCCAGTTAAAGAAGAACACTTGCAATTCCTGATTAGCTCAAAGGAATAAACATGGCATAAAGTGAAGTAGTCTCAACATAAAGATGATTTGCACAAGTGTGCAAGCTCAGACAGCATGGAGGACACCACAGGAAATGAGCCTTTGCTTGCTCTCTGGCACCAAACGGCAGGGTAAAATCAGCTGTAGCGTTTGACAAGAAGCCTAATCAAACTTCCCTGTTTCGTCAGGTGAGAGGCGGATGACGTTGGTTGAGCTCAGACGGACACACAAACACAAGACAGACATACGAGACCGCGCTGAACGCCTGGTGGGCCGACTCAAACGGAACACTCAGCCTTTTGTCCGCGCTTTGCCTTTTCCACATCAACAATTTGCATCCCCTCACCAGAACTCCCCCAGCCTATTCAAACAGCAGAGCCTCACACACCACGCTGCCCACAGAAAGTCATTACTGTACGTCGGGGGCCCCGGCTTTCCCCCCCGGTGAACAATTACACCTCCACAGCAGATATAAAACTGCTCCACTCTGGTGTAAAGTTGTGGAAAAGCTATTTCTGGTTTGGTTTTATTTGATCTTAGTGCAGCTTTTGATGCAGTTGACCACTCTATCCTTCAAAATGTCCAAGATCATGTTGGGATTCAGGATATTGTTCATCAATGGTTCACTTTGTATTTATCTGATAGATTTTTCTCTGTTGAAATGGGAAATGTCTTTTCCTCAGCAGCTCCTGTTAGCTGCAGAGTTCCTCTAAAATCCATCTTGGGGCCATGCAATTTTCTCTTGGGCTTTATTCTGCAAATATAAACTTAGAACAAAAAGTAAGGAAATTTATGTTTGGTAGATTATTTCTTTGTTGTAACAATGCTTCTTGGCAGTAAATCTTAAAGCGGGCTCCTGATTGGCAGCACCTGGGGGTACCAGGAGTGTCAATAGCAACAGTAAAATAAGCGGTTTGGCAAAGATTAGGCAAATTTTTCATGTGCGCAACCCACATACTCAGCTCTACTGCTCATCCCACAAATGCATGTTCCTTACAAATGTGGCATCATTTAAAAGGGAAATTAAAAGKCTTCCTAGTGGTATAAGATTTATGTCAAGAAGCACTGTTACAAAAAATAAACAATCCACCAAACACAAATTTCCTTTTTGTGCTAAGTACATTTCATTTCACTGTTATGCAGACGATACACAAATCTATACACCTGTATGTCCTGGTGACCCATCCAATGTTATGTTCCTTATAGATTGACATAAATACATAATAAAGCTCTGTGAATAATCTCGATTAGCTGTGGAAGGCTTCTGAAATTCCAGATTTCCTGTCTTAAAAAAAGACTCATTTTTCAAACCTACCAGTTGTTACAACACCTCTGAACGTTTCGATATCAGCATCCGCATCACCACCTCTGCAGTGTTCGCCTCAATGTAATGCAATAGTTACAAATCGCAACTGGCTGATACACACAAACACACTCAGCCTTACAATAAGCCTCCTCTGTTTGCTCCCTCTGCTYGTGCAACATTAATTATTAATGCTTAATGCTGCTTTGGCATTTGTGGAGTATCAGGGGAGCTGCGGAGTGATGGAGAGAGGAGACTTAAAAGGGAAGAGGGCACAGCCTGCATTTTCCTATAAGCATCCCATCATGTAGTGGAAAAGGTTTTTGTCTCTTATTGTCAATACTCTCTGTCCAGCTTAACGCTGACCTCCAGAATGTCTCTAAAACAAAGATCAGAGCCTTCAAGCTTTAAAAAAAACAATGTCGGGAATCAATTCAGACCTTGTATTACTAAAACTACACCTCTCCTCCTTACTGCCACCCCTTTGATTCCCTGTTGCTTGGCTTCTGACGACCYGTCCCTGGTGTTTCGGACCCCTCCTGGGGTGACAGGGTTAGCTGCTTACTCATGGAAATGAACAGAGGGTTTTTTTTTYYTTTTTTGCTTAGAGGGCACTTTGCTTCCCGCTTAGGAGGCGAGTGCAGGAAGCCGTGACAATAACAAACTGCACAGTGCTGACGCTCTAACAGCTGCTGCTAAACAGAAARCACACAGATACAGCTCCACATATTTTATACACACAAAACGTGGCTCACACRGTGTGACAGGGAAGAAGGGAGCATGACTGAGAGACTGAAGCTTGCGTGTCAAAAATCAGGGTAAACATTAAGAAGGCAGTGACTTGGCAAAAAGTAGACRTCAATCTAGCCTCAGTCTGCTTAAGGTAACATTAAAAACTTTGAGCAGGTTTTAGTTAATGATGATGAGAAGGGGCATAAACCTGAAGACGTGATATTTGAGAGTTTTTTATTTTTTTTTTAGTTTATGGTATTCTCACACCGACCCAACATCACAAGTTCCTAAAATATTGTGAAGGAGAAACAGTTTGATCTAAATGACGGGAAAGCAACAGCTGTTCAAACAGGTTTACAGATGTTTCCTTTCGGGGTGTTTCAGATTAACGGGAGCTACAACTAAATAATTAAACGCAACAACAAACCTCGTCACTTTGTGCGCAGCTTCAAGATACGATTAGTTTCGAGTTACCCGTTGGGCTAAACTGAACAAACCTGCTCTGCATTGTCTCTAATTCCTGTCCCAGTGGCACCAATCAGCTCTTTCACTCCTTCTCATCCACTCACAATAATAATATCACCAGAAGCTCTGGATCTGCCTGCTGCAAAAAGCATCTTACCCGACAGTCTCTYTGCAGGGTCTTCATCAGGTTGTTGTACATCTCGGTGTCAAAGTAAAGCCCCTCCTCGTGCATGTCCTGGAAGTCCAGGTCTTTGTACGTCGGACAGGCTTTCTCCCGCTCTTTCCTGGATGCTCGCCTCTTGTAGGTGGAGCCCTTCAGGTCGTATTTGTAGTGCATTTTGAGGGAGCGCGGCAGCACGTTGTTCATCACCACCAGGCGGATGTTGATGCCGCCCGACTGGATGCAGTACAGGCCGTAAAACTTTGGCAGGAGCGTGCGTGGATTCTGGTTCAGGTTCTGTGAAATAAAACACACACACACAAGGTCAGATTCAAATTTATTATGAGCCATTTTACAAACCTGGAACAGCCTTTTCACATTTTGTAGATTTRATTTTTAGTTCCGTTTCCAGGTTTTTATTTCCACGGAACCACATTTATATTTATTAAGGTTGCATAATTAGGATTTTTTTTTTCCCCGAACAGAAACCATTTAGGTATTTAAACCTTTTTTTTAGAATTCCTTTATTTAAAGCAGGGAAAATGTGCAAATAAAACATTAAAGAGATGCTTTGCACCAGATTTAGCTWAAGTTTCATCTGTAGTCCCTGTACAACAAAATACAATCTAAAWTCAAAACATACAGCAATAATCCATAAACGTTCTAAACACAATTACTGTACAAAGTCATAAAAGACAATAACAATCAATTCTAATTACAATCTCTAYACACAATCATAAAGTACATCAGCAAAAACAGTTCTACATGCTAAACTTTTTCTYAGTAATCACTAATGCAAGGATTACAATTAAAATATTTCAGTGCAGACTGCTGGTTTTCCAATAGCACTTTCCTAACATTATAAGTAAAGTCTTTCAGGTCAGTATAAAGTTTAAGATTTACTGGAAGCTTATTCCATTCTGTGATGTCTTTAAATGAAATGGCTGWCTGTGCAAATACTGAGCTACATTTGGGTTTTCTATAATCTTTACTATTCACTGACCTGCTGTTCCTGGTTTTAAGTTCAAAACAGAGTTGGACAAAATGTTTTAGTGGTGAAGGAGCAGTGTTATTCACGATTTTAAAAATAAGCTGCATATTGGAATACACAAATAAATTATTAAAGTTTAACATTTTATATTTTCCTAATATATGACAATGATGGTGTCTCAAAGGYTTTTTATCTAACACTTTTACTGCTTGGTTATATAGAGATCTTAGAGGTTTAGTTGTTGACTCATTTGCTAGTGACCAGCATGTAATACAATAATTAATGTGAGAAATTATCATTGCCTCCAAGAAAGTTTTTGCTGAGTTTTTCATGAGTCAGTGTATTTCGAATGTGCCTAAAAACCGATAAATTATATTTTAAAATATTAAAAGGGTTTCTAATATGACTTTTTAAAGTAAAAGTTGAGTCCAAAACAAGTCCTAAATATTTAAATTCCTCTACTACTTTGATTTGTTTATAATTGCCACTTTTTTATTCACAATCAGTGTGAGCGAGGCTGAAGTTAACCAGTCTGTGACTTTTACCATAAGTAGTTAATTTATTAGCTACTGTGGTCACATAATTTCCATGCACATAAATCACAGTATCATCYGCATACATCTGTATGTCCACATCACCACATACTGAGGGGARATTATTTATGTRGAGTGCAAACAACAATGRCCCAAGAACAGACCCCTGTGGGACGCCCATGTTATTAATTTTAGACGTTAACTTGTTATTGACTCTTAMACACTGGACACGGTCACTGAGATAAGATCCTATCCACTGCAGTGCCCTTGAAGACAAATTATAATTAGTCAGTTTTTTATTCATTCATTTTTCATCCATTTTATTTATCATGTAAATGGCATTGCATATAATACACAATAACATTAATGGCTAATGAGACTGCTACAAAAAACAGGCAGCTGAGAGCTGTTTATGGGAGCCGATGGTGACGTATGTGCCACAAACTGTGGACCGGGATTCAGTTCTATATCCCCGGCAAGTAGTAGCACTACTAACAGATCAAGTTCTCCTAAATAAGGTCTATTTCTTTTCCTCTCATCCAYCTTTGGATTAATTGCAGCACATCCATTCTTAAGTACCTTAGCATAAAGAACATGTTGGCACTCCATGACTGAGGAGTGAACATGGTTGTTTTTCCCTTGTAGATATTGTTGTCTTAAACAAACAACAAGCACTGTAAATGCATAGAGCACAAAAAACTGCATGCTACGCRAGGCTGAGACAAGTTTGATGTACATCCCATAGCCTCTGTTAACTTGGGCGTGCTTGCTGCCCATGCCTGCTGCTGCCCGAGTTAATTAAATGCACCTGTACACATCATTAATATTACACACCTCTAATTATGCAAATATATCTCACTAATGGCCTCAGACACTCAGTTGAATTCAGTTCAGTTTAGTGTTTGCAGAGCAATAATACAGGAAAACAATTTTATGATTCCAATTAAATGAAGATTCTGTTAAATTTGGAGGTAAAACCAGCTGTATGCATACACATACAACAAAATAAAGAAGAGACAAAGCCTCAGGGTTCTCACCATGTAGTATCCAGGCAGCAGCCTCTGCAGGAACTTGGCCTCTTTGTGCTGCACAGTTTTAATGATGAACTCGTCGTCGCTGGTCAGGTAGAAGAGCGAGCCGCTGGCGCCCGGGTTGGTCAGCTCGATCAGGGGCTCGTTTACGAGGGAGTACTGGTGGAAAAGAGATGCACAAACAAAATCAGTTCCCTGTTACACATGTAACGTGCGTCGGACTGGAAAACATGTGCTGTGTAATTAAACAATAGCTCCTTTCAAACACGGGGACTTAGAGAGAAAAGCACTATAAAAATTTATATGGAAATGGAAAAAAAAGAGACTAAACCAAACATGTTTTGACTGTTTAACTGTGGTAAATTTTTATTGAGCTTAGGAAAATGACAAGTGTGTGTTTAGATTAGATGGTATACAACATTCCTTTCTAGTCTAGACCAAAACAGCTACATCTCTGTTGTTTTTCAATACAAAGACAATTTTAGTATAAAGCTCTGGCATGAAATGGGTGATACACGTTCTGCTACACCTTCAGAAGCGTTGCAGTGTTACCATCTCACCAAACCTCACTGGTATCTCTGGACCTTTGGACCTGGCTGTTAAGGGACGACACCCAATAGACAGCGAGCATGAAAACATTAGCTCCTCWGCTGGTGATAATCAGAGCACTTACGCATAAAATATACACGCAGCAGATGGAAAAGCCTTCATCCAAAAGTGGCCTCGGAGTGTGAGGACGAGTCTGAGAGCAGCTTTAGATGTTAACTGTTGCGTTATGAACCATTTGGAGGAGAGAGGAACCACTGAAGGCATCTGCTCCTTCCCTCCTGAGACGCTCCAACTGATGACAAGCTGCAGGTTTTTTTTTTACATAAACACCGCTGCAGTTTATTGTATTTTTACACGAACACGTGCTCCATTTTGATCAGACTGTGTGGCCTATGCCTGAATGAATTCAACAACTCGAGCACAAACTCTCTCTCCGCTGCTGCACTGAGCAAAATCATTGCTCCGCTGCCTTGAAGTTGTACCTTTTGTATTTTTTTTTTACCTGTGCAGGAACAAATTTGGCATCCAGAATCAAGAGTACAGCTGGCTTGGGTTTATGAAAGGCTTGTAGGGGCAGGTGGGGAAAAGGAAAACGGCRTCATAACAGGATCAACGCAAAGTCTAATTCTGTTCTGAGAACAAAGCATTCAGAAGAGCTGAAAACACTGAAAGCTTTTGCTTCATTGTTGCGCAATAGTCTGATTTTCTAATAGGCAAACAAAGACAACTGAACTGAACTTAAGAAAAGTGTTCTGAATTATTTAAAATGAGATGATTTCATATAACAACTGAACGTGAGTGGGTTTGTTCAAAAGACAAGTTAGAAAAGTTCTCACTGTACCAATCCAGAGTTAGACCGGCTGAGAACAGGAAGTAATGTAGAGTGCCATCACTCAATATTTCAAGGAAAAAACATGTCTAATAGTTCACAAGTTCATGAAGAATCCCAGGGTACTTTCTAGATTCAAAAGGCCTCATCTGCGTTCACTGGCATTTACGTTCATGAGTACATAATGAAGATTTAATCAACTTAAAATCAATTATACGAACATCTCAATCAGACTCATGCTGTTTTAAATCAGAAAAATCTCTTCGCTGTAAAACAATTCGATGGTGGTATCATGGTTTGGGACTTATGCAATGTGATTGAGAACCTGCCTCTGTAGGACACAGACACCAGTGACCCTGAGACCCAGAAAAGAAGGAGCGAGTAAAGATAATGGATGTATGTCTCAACACGAAAAAGCAAAAGAGTTTGTTTTTTTTTTGGCTAAATAACAGAACTMTTAGTAGATTTCATTTAGCTTTGTGCCGATTATAATTACCACCATGAGATCTTGTCACTCCTCATTTTAACAGCCTTTCCATCAACTTTATTCTCTCACAGTGAGCAGAAACCCCAGCCTGAAAATCAGCTAAGAAACAGCATCTGTAATGGAATTATACCAGCAGAGAAGAGAAAGGCTAACACCCTAGAAGGGGTTCAAAAGAAATAAATCTCACAGGACTTTAGGTCTTCTTTTGGAGATAAATGTCTGTCTTTCTATCTATTTTAGACAGATAAAGGTA